TTCCTGTTAAAAAGGAGGAGTGTGCTAGACATACTGTGGCCTATAGGCTGAAGATGGATGCCCCAACATTTACAGAGGAACTTTGGGTGACTGTCCAGGTAGCAAGATGTCCTGTCAATTGAAGAGTTTATATATTATCCTTCTGTGGTCTTTAATAGAGTTAAAGACAGATAGTTATGGTTATAGTTTTCTTCAGTTATTATAAAAAATAAGATACCCTTTTTATTTAGACAGAAAAGAGGAGATGATGGGGGAAATACTTCTGCGTATGTTTATAAATAAAGTACTTGCTTGGCCAATGAGACAGCAGGTTAGGCTGGACTAGGAGTCAAAGAGGATTCTGGGAAATGTAGTAGAGAAATGGTGTTCCAGACAGGAAGTGACATAGCAAGGAGACTCATATTTAAAAAGAGGAAAAAGGAAGTGTCGCTCTCTTTCCCCTCGGCTCCTGTTCCAGCGGCACGATGTGATCCGCCAGCTAGGAGGGACGCCAATAAGGCGTCCGATAAGATAAGTCTTATAAAATATATAGATGTATGATAATTGATACTGAGCTAACAGATGAGAATCCTAGTCATTGGCCAAGCAGGATTGTAACTAATACAAGTCTCTCTGTGTATTCATTTGGGCCTAACTTGGGCAGGTGGCTGGCGTAAAGCTTACACGTGGCAGTGGGGCTCAGCGGCGTTTGGCAGAAAGATTTATTGTAACATTTATCGTAACAGAGATGACACCTCTAGGAAACAATAGGGTTCACATGGGGTCCGACATCCTCACAATGTGATCAGTAACCATATAAGGACAGAGAATTTGACTCCAACTCTGACCAAAGAACACAGCAAGATGACCAACTGCAAACAGGGTCTCAGAGACCACCCCTTTCCTCAACAAATACCACTGCCTGATGGGGGTATGTCCTTCTGTATGCTGTGAATATGTTTCTCTTTCTGGTTGGTGAATAAATGCTGACTGGCCATTAGTATGCAGTATAGTCAGGGCTACCAGACTAGGAGAATGCTAGGAAAAGGAAGGCAGAGAGGGTCATGAAGGAGAGACACCATGTAGCCGCCGAAGGAGTAACATGCCAGAGTGTTATGGGTAAGCCACAGCCTAGAGGCAATACATAGTTTAATAGAAATGGGTTAATAATTAAGAGAGAGCCAATAAGAAGCCTGAGCCATCAGCCAAACAGAATATAATTAATATAAGCCTCAATGTGTTTATTTGGGACACAACAGTTATGGGACTGGCCACCACGGCCATCACCAGTGTCTGGGCAGGCTGGCTTCCCAGTTTTCTTGGTTAAGCCAACTAGTTTATAGCATTTTGTCATAACACATGGCTTTCTTCTATTGTCAGTGTGTACTTGTAAGGAAGAAAACTAATTCCAAGTTTCAATTTCAGACCCATGAAGATTCACAGGGTGGACAGTTTTGAAAGCTTCCAGGATAGGTCAGAAACAAATGGGGTTGACAGATGCTATGTTTCTGCCTACAAAGGAATTTCCTTTGAAGAAAGCAATATTAAGATTTTGGTTTTTGGCTTTTGAAGAAAGGTGAGTGAAAGCAGTTCTAGTTAGTCAGGTCAACCTTTAGACACACACTAGCCTCAAGTCTATAAGTTATGACGTCACCATTCTTACCTTTTGTATCTGCCTGGAACTGTTCTTGACGGGTCCTGTAAGGGAAAATATGAGAAATCAGCTGGGTGTGCGTCAGTACACAACTATAGATTGCAGAAAAATAGGACAGGAACCACTAAAGAGCTATGTGGAACAACTGCAATTGCACTTAAGAATGCATCACACTGCTGATTAAACAAAAAGCACCTGTATCTGCCTTTTCAGCCCAACCAACCAGGTTTTAAATATGGAAATATAGCTAGGCCATCTCTGTGGACTGAAATATTTTAAAAGCTTAGAAGACAAATATGGGGTGTAGCATGAGTATTCAAAAAAATGCAATTGTTACATAATTTTCTTCTTTTTTTTAGTGAGGGTTTCACATAAACAAGGCTGGCCTGGAACTAGCTACGGGCTGAGGATAGCCTTGAACATCTTATCTTCCTGCCTCCACCTCTGACTATTGAGTTTATATGTGTACCATCTTACCCAGCAGATTACGTCAGAGGATCAAGCCCAAGGACTTGAGCATGCTAATGCTAGCATGTGTCCTTCTCAGGCACCTCCCCAACCTGACAGTCATTATAGTCTTAATGTTATCTCCCATCTTTTATTACGTTCTCATTTAGAACAAAACAAAACAACAACCAAAAACAGAAAAAAAAAAAAAAAAAAAGCTGGCGTGATGGTGCATGCCTTTAATCCCAGTGCTCAGAGGGCAAAGGCAGGAGGATCTCCTGGCCAACAAAATGAGTTCTAGGACATCCAGGACTACATGGAGAGACCCTGTTTCAAAAAACAAAGAAACAAACAAACAAAACCCGAAAAAGAAAACAAACAAGCAAATGGGGCAAGAGAGGTGATTCAGTCCTCCAAGCACTGGCTGCTCCTATAGGACTGGAGTCCAAATCCCAGCTCACAACCATTTATATAATCCCAGTTCCCCGGAGCCCTCTTCTGGCCTCCGTTGGCTCTTGTACTTACACAGATATACACATACACACACATAAATATTAACAGCTTTAAAAACCTGTAAACACACATACACACACACAGAGAGAGAGGGGGGGTGAACTTTTTAAAACTATAGCTAAAAATAAAAAAATGAGAAACGTACATATTCCTGCAATGATCCTAAGTTACAAAAATAAAAAAAGAGGAGACAGACTGTTTAAAGTTAATATTAACTAGGGTGGAAAAATACCGTGCAAATAAGTAGGCAGTAACTGTGATAAGTCTGGGCTCCTCACATACTTCTTCAGTTTCATCTTAATAAAACACATCAAATTTAAGTGGTGAGCCCCTTTCAAACTGATAATAGTGTTATGTCTAAGAGAAGTTATATAATTAAATTATTTCTGGTCTGGTTAAAAGGAAAGAATAAGCTTCATAAGATGACCAGTTCCACGGTGAAACACTAACGACTGACTGTCTACCACTAACTCCTGGGTATAGCAACCCCGCAACAGTCTGGCAAACTGTTCAAGAGGAAGAACCAACCAGACCTGCCACTCAGCAGGCAGCTGAGACTAAGGGTTCCAGTTTCTCCCAGTGCCCTAACAGGAAGCAGCAGCAACCCCAGTGTATTGTGGGATTACAGGCTGTAGGAGCAGAGTGATCGATTGGCACAACAGGCTCGAAGGGTAACTTTAGAAAGCTAACTAGGGCACAAAATCCTTATCAATTTACTCCATAAATTCTCACCAAAACATCGTAAACCTCTAAAAGATACTGTTAGTGCTCAGGAATCGGTACTGGCCTACCCTTGGGGTTCTGACAGGATCCGCCCTCAGCTGCAGCCCTAAGAGCACCACCTGTGCACACTGACTACATTCCCTTTTAAAAGGGCCCTGTTCACCCCCCATCTTCCTCTCTTTCTCTTTCTCTTTCTCTCTGCTTCTCCCTGTCCTCCCTCTCTCCTTCCTTCCCTCTGCCACTCCTGTCCACAGAGGCTGGTCTCCCTTCTCCCCTTTTCCCATTCACTTTCCCCTAATAAAAAACCCCTCCACCCAAGCTCTGTTACATAGTGTCTTTCTCTCATGCACTGATTTTTTAAATTACAACAGATACCCTTATCTCAATGTTTAATTTTTATCCTTTATTTCTTAAGTAAAATATGAGCTTCTGGAAGCTTGCCCCTGCCCCCAAATCGAGAGAAATCACTTTCTTAGCAATCTAATTTTACAGGAAAGGAAAATAAAACCAAAGGAAACAACAAAAACCCAAGCATTCAGGAAGTTATTAGGGGGTACAAAAAAAAAAAAAAAAAAAACCAACAACTGGTGGGATCCTGGAGTATCTGGGTGGGCCTGATCCCCATGGACACAGCTCAACTACTTCTGGGGAAGCCTCTCCTGCCTGGCGAGCCATTGGTCTCAATACGGAGAGAGCAACAAAACCTCGGCCAGATGTTCATGACATTTCTTCTAGTCTGTCATTAGAAAAGCATTCCCTAAAATGAGGAAGGCCAGTGTTTGCTTTCATGTAGTAATTAAGTAAAACAGATTCTGTTTATAAAAGCATGCTTATCTCCAGAGAATAACAGGAAAGAACAGATATGTCAACTCTAGCTACCCTTGTAAGTGCAACATGGGTTTTTTATAAGGGGAAGGGTGTTCCTCTATGGAAGAACAGAATTCTACACAAATATCAACTCTATCTTAGATTTGGTAGCTCAAAATTTCATTTCCATGACCACAAAAAATATTCCCAGAGGAGCTAACTAACTTTATAATTACTAGGAACCTTCATTAATAACTACAAGTAATTACTGCTAAACGTGACAAGTCCACTCCATGTGAACTAATCTATGTGTGCCCGATTTATTGCATGTATGCTTTCCATCTGTTTACGAATCACAGCACTTCAACTGCCTCTGCACCTGTGAGGACTGTGTTCCTGATTTTCTTACCACAATTCTATGTTCTGACGAAGCCAGACAGTTTGTGCTTTGCCAACATTTTCGCAGGTCTGCACAGTTATTCCCCATCCCTTTAGCAGGATAAACTATACCCCTGCAAGGAAGATTATGTCAGGAAAACTAGGCTTGAAATCTGTTGTATAACAGACCTGGGTTTTCAAAGGATCTCATTACTTGGTCCCTGGGACTTTTAAAGCTAGGATCAAGTTCAGCTGCACTTTCTACAAGCAGTTTTAGTGCACGAGACTTTCTCCAATTTTTTTTACATACATCAGCTTCCTGTCAGTAAACATGACACAACCCAAACTGTTGGCTATGTCATCAAGTCATCTGTAGTTAGGGACGGCTGGGAAAGGACGGGAAAGACTGGAGAGCTTTCAGACTGAGGGAGACTCACAGACAGTGACAGCAGCATGTAATTCTGAATTGAATTCCTCTGCTCTGCCTTGGGACATGACTGGGACAACTGGAAAAACTTTAGTGAGGCCTGAGTATGAGTGAAGTTATGTGGTCACTAGGCAGACCTTGTTCTTAGAAAACGAAGTATTCAAGAAGCAGTTTTAGAAGAAAAATGTTTTCTCTGTGTCCTTGTGGCTTTGTAGCAAGCCGAGACTGTTGTGGAGAAAAAAACTACTAGAGCCCACTCAGGAACTACCACTGAGGACAAACAGAAAATCTTACAAGTACCTTAGATGATATGCAGCAGGTACTTTTTCTTTCTTTCTTTCTTTCTTTCTTTCTTTCTTTCTTTCTTTCTTTCTTTTTTGGGGGGGATGGGGAGTGTTTCACGACAGGGATTCTCTGAGTAACAACAGCCCTGGATGTCCTGGAACTTGCTCTGTAGACCAGGCTGGCCTTGAATTCACAGAGATCTGATTGCCTCTGCCTCCCGAGTGCTGGGATTAAAGATGTGCACCACCACCACCTATACTTCATGATGGTTGAAGACGGGACATGGCCCTCCTTTCAGACTAGGAACCATATCCCAATCAAACCATCAGATTGTGTATCTACCAATAGAATAATCCTTTGATGACATCAGAGTCACAATTAAACACTGCTGTGGGACCCAAGCCTTTAGAATACAGCTATTTTTTGAAGAACATTTAGTATCCAAAGAGAGATGGATGGATAGATGAATGAATGGATGGACAGACAAAGATAGCTTTCATTTGTAGGTTAGTTCATATGTAGAAAAGAAATACTAGTTGCTTCCAGGAAGGGAGCCAGGTAGCTGAAAACTTTTAACCACACAGTTACGCCTTTTGAATTTTGTGCCACGTGATCACAGGCCTTCAAAAAACTAAGAGTAAGAGTCAATAGTTGATAGAAAACAGCAGAACATAAAGAAGTGTTACAACCATGCCATGTATCATTACTTCTGTGTTCCATTATTTTCTACATTTAACCTAATCAGAAAACATTTACTTAAGGTATCAGTGCTCTTTCTGCATGTGTGCCTACATGCCACTAGAGGGCATCAGATCCCACTATAGATGGTTGTGAGCCACCATGTGGTTGCTGGGAATCGAACCCAGGATCCCTGGAAGAGCAGCCAGTGCTGTGAACCGCAGAGCCATCTCTCCAGCCCCAGAAAACGTTTATTTAAAAAGCTAGCATGACCACGTTTAAAAGCTGTATGAAGCCATAGCTAAAAATAAGAAAGTGGTTGAATTTTCACTTTCTTTTTTTTTAAGACTTTATTTATTATGTATACAGTCTATACAGTCTTCTGCCTGAATGCCAGCAGAGGGCACCAGATCTCATTCAAGGTGGTTGTGAGCCATGATGTGGTTGCTGGGAATTGAACTCAGGACCTCTGGAAGAACAGTCAGTGCTCTTAACCACTGAGCCATCTCTCCAGCCCTGAATCTTCATTTTCTATCACCATTGTCATGTTGCATAAAAAATTTAAACCATAAAAAGATATTCTAACCACTAGCAAAGCACGCTGTCAAGTCACACTCCTACTGGCATTTGCAGTCCGCTTCTAAAGACCTGTTTCCCTGAGTGTCTCAGATCTGTAGGCAATGTCAAGATGCAGCCTTTCTCTCGGTCCTATTAAAATAAAAAAAAAAAAAAACAACGATGCCAGGACACTGTCCCTTCTCTCTCCTTCCTCCCCCACCACTCTTGTAGATTTTGGTGCAGTAAAAGTCCATCCTTTAGGCGTAACAGGGACTGGGACTGCAAATTGAGATTGTGGCTCAGAGGGATATCAACTATGTGGACGGGGCATTTCCTGTTCCCACTGCCACCGCTGATGAGGCAATTAGGGAGGCCCTTGGAGAAGATGTAGCTTCATTCTCAGCTAAGCAAACAGCCTGGCAAAATACATTTGGAGCCAAGGTCACCATCGAGTGACCAACCTTTAATCTCAATTACTAATAAAACAAACAGAAATTGAAGAAGAGAAAAGCGGCCTGGGAAGAGCTCAGAATAGTTAAATGAAGCAGACGCATTTGTGCAGAGAATCCTGAGGACCAACTCAGCTGAACGCATTTGTGCAGAGAATCCTGAGGACCAACTCAGCTGAACTAGAAGTCCATGTTAGGGTGTATGCCCTGTACATAACTAGACTGCAGCAGACAGAGCCTTTTTTTGTAGAAAGAAATCAGCCCCCTGTCTGCAGACACTGTCTGATACTATGGTAGTATGTCCTCGTTCTTAAGTGTCCAGAGTAAGAAGATGGGCAAGGACTAAACCAGGTCTAGACTTTCAATTGCAATGGTGTATTTTCTCCACCACAGAAAGTTAGACCTTTATTGTGTGGAAGTCATCACTGAAAGAGGATCAGGTTTAATTTCAATTGTATTAAAAAAAAAAAAAAAAGTACTAAGGTATTTAGAGTGTGACGAATCACACACAGCTGAGAGAAGCAGTGTGGTTAGCATTATGACATAAAGGCCTGGGTTCATTTACCGGCACTACTTTCCACAGAGCCACAATGATCTTTACTGAGAGTAACAGCAACTTGAGGAATGAAGGGGGAAAGATGAACACCATCACTCGATAAGTCTCTGTGTCAGTAACTTCAGCCTTAGGGAAGAGAGAAGTGTTTATCTATATTCCCTAACCACTTCAAAACAGTCTGCCTCCCTCTGTCAAATGTCTTCACGATGTTGCAAAAGAGCAAATAGGCATTTAATCTTTTCATCAGCTAAGCACAGAAAGGTGTATGGTCCTCCAGAATGCCTTTTAAAGTCATATAATAATAAAACGAATTTGGAAAATCAGGACTAGGGGCAGGAGAGGTAGTGCAGTTGGTAGATTGCTTGCCTACAAGCATAAAGGCCTGGGTTCATTTACCAGCACACCTGTAATCCTAGCACTCTGCTATCATCGAAAGGAAGGTCAGAAGTTCAAGGCCATGCTTGCTGCAAAGCAAGGCTGAGGTTAGCAGCCTCAGTACATTAGACTTTTCTAGAGACAGGGGGGAGGAGGAGGGAAGGGGAGGGAAGACTGGAACTCTGAAAACACATGATGATCTTGGGATGCAAAGTGTCTGATGGCAGCACTGGGAGGGCAGAGACTGGAGGGTCACAACTGAGACCAACCTGGGGGATACACAGCAAGTTCAAGGCCAGCCTAGGCTACATCAAAAGACCCTGTTCTATAAAAAGAAAATCCTGGGTGTGGTGGCCATGCTTACAATCCCAGCTGTAGGGAGGCTTATAATCCCAGCTGACAGGCAGACTCCTGAGGCTGACTCAACAGCCAGCCTAGCACACTTGGCAAGTACCAGGACATCCAAAGACCCTGTCTCAAGGAGAAGTGGTCAGTATCCAGGGACTGACATCTGCGGTGAGTTATAGCTTCTGGCCTGTACATGTTCACGCAAGTGTGGAGAGAGAAATAGAGGGGGTAGAGAGAGAGGAAAGAGAGAGAGGAAGGAAAAGTAGGAAAAACCGGGGAGTGGAAGGGTGGGCAAGCCGACTTAAAATGTCACAAAATTTAACACATTTTACCAATAATACCAATAATATTTCAAAACACATTTAACATAACTGATTCTAGAGATGACAGACAGATACATCAGGGCAGCAGACTCTGTGTCCTGAGAAGAACCTCCAAAAAGACTTTATAGAGTAATTTGTTCCATTGTCAAAGTAAGCAACTAAAGTGGAACTGAATTAAGTTTTATTTCCAGAAGTACCTTATACTATATAGAAACGCAAGCATTTCTGGGACCTTTAACATGACACCATTCACAACACTACACTCTGCATAATACTGTATTATGTCTAAACAGTTCACTGGGTAAACCAAGTCACATCTTTTTTTCTTCTATGCTTAGGATCCAAAAGTCAGCCTAGAACAAAATGGGACACTCAGCTTAATTCTTACTTTTTAGTAACAAGGAAGTGATTATTTCTCTTGGTTATTTTTACAACCGATGTTACCTAAACCCTGCCAGTCGGTCAGATTATATTCTTTGCTCAGGGACCAAGAGCCAAACAATGATCAAGTCAGTAAGTTGGAGAGAAGGAGACTGGTGGTTAAACCCACAGGGAATGCTTGGGTCAGCCTGATGCTACCAAGATGGGACTGGAAGAATTATTAAGAGCAGTTTAAAAGACAGTTGTTCAAATAGCCAATGACTTTCTGGTCATTTTCAATGCTCACCTGGGACAGGTAGGAAGTGCCTGGATCCAACAGGCTCGCAGCTTCATTCTGGATGGTGTTCTGTTGTGTGATGGCGTCTTCTCGCTTCCGCTCTTTCTGTCCTGCTTCATCATCTTCGTACTCATCTAAGCACTGAGAGAAAGAACAGTCTCCATTTCATGCCCCAATAACAGAATGCTTTAACAGTATTTAAAAATACAACATCTAGCATTAAAAAAAAAAAATCTGAATGAAGCAGGATGGTGTTGGCAGTGCACACTTTTAATCCCAGGACTAGGGAGGCAGAGGCAGGAGGATCTCTGAGCTCAGCCTGCTCTACTGAGCGGGTTGCAGGACAGCCAGGACTACACAGAGAAACTCAAACAAACCAAAATCAAGCAAACAAATAAAACAAAACAAAAAAAAAATCTGCAGGCAATCATAAATTAGGTTTATACAATAAAGTTGTTCCTTTTCAGCGATATATACGCTCCATTCCTATAAATTAAATTCTCTGCTAAATCCCAACACTTTAATGAGTTTCTCAAAGAGATGGTGCTCATTCATTCTCTGCCATTCATTCAACATGGTAGCCCACTATGCCTGCCTTAAATAGGCACTCTGCAGAGGGCAGAGCTATAAGCATGGAATTTATAGTTCAGCAAGGAAGGCGTGTGTGTGTGTGTGTGTGTGTGTGTGTGTGTGTGTGTGTGTGTGTATTAGTGATAAGGTCATTTTCTACCTTCACACTGCCTGTAGGGCTATAAAGAAAGAATATTTTCACGTTCAAGTTAAGAAAGGCTCTGAACAAATAGTAATTTCAAGGATGGGTATAATTTGGAAGTACACATCTGGACAAAGGGGAATTTCAGATGGTGAGAACGGCATACTGAAGATGCTTACTAGAGGGTTACTAAAGAGCTGAATCGACAGCAGCAATTATCTCTCTCCAAACCTGCCACAAGGAAACAAAACGGAAACAAATCCCTATCCATTGTGCTATTACAGCACTGGCTATGAGCTCCTCAGAGCACACATCTAATCCAAACACTGACCCCCTTAGGTTCTCTATGAGATTCAAATAGTCATCTCTATAGGCATTGCCCAAAAAGACACCAGGATCTACCTACAAGATCAGAACAGGCCACTGTGCCAACCAAGAAGAGATGCAGAGAGAACTCGGTGAAGAGGAAGGAGCTGCTAGCTTGTCAAAGGCAATTCAAAGACAAAGTAGACCTTAAGAAACTTGGAAAGGCATCTACCAAGATGACAAGGAGTCTGGCAACAGACCAGAAGGGCAAATGAGAAGGCAGAGTGCGGTTAGACTCTTCTGGGGAGCAGCAGCGTGCTTATACAGGAATGACTGATCTGCAGCTCAGTGGGCCAGCCAGTGAGAACTTGGGTGAGGAAAATTATGACTCAGTGCTACTGTTACTGTTGCAAGTCTACTGCCCTTGACTCCAAGTCAGGAGACCACTGACTTCTGCTAGGACCCACAGGTTAGCCTATAAGCAGGGTACAAATTTCAGCGCATAGTTCTTGAGGCGAGGACTGAAAAGGCATATAATATACTCCGATCTCCAAGAAACACAGACAATAAATAACCCAAGGAGTTTAGACAGAAAGTTGTTAAAGGTCTTGGAACATCAATACATGACCAAAACTGCTCTCTCTCTCTCTCTCTCTCTCTCTCTCTCTCTCTCTCTCTGTCTCTCTCTGTCTCTGTTGTCTCTCTCCCTCTCTCTCTCTCTCTCTCTCTCTCTCTCTCTCTCTGTGTGTGTGTGTGTGTGTGTGTGTGTGTGTGTGTGTGTGTGTGTGCGCGCGCGCGCGCGCGCGCTCGGAATAGCAATTAAGTCCAAATTAATAGGAACACAGAATAAAAGTGTTACAGCTAGTTAACAAAATTGATAATTTGAGTTTAAGAAAAAAATATAAACTCTAGGCAAATAAAAAGCACAATCAACAAAAGAAATCCAATACACAGTGCAAAATTGCTCTGTAGTCCTAATGGGAAAAACTCTCTTAGGAGTTTAAGGGGGGAAATCCCCAAATCCTTCTTATACTAACCCATCATGTTTAGTGACAAAATACCAACAACATTCAAGAGTAAAATCAGACTCAAGACAGTGGTGTCTTCTACCATGTTTGGGAAAGTGCTGGGCAGCAAACCAGCTCCGAAGATTACAGGGCTCAAATGTTAGGAAGGAAGCAACTATCATCCTTTTATATGATTTTTTTTAACTATAAGCTAAAAATATTTATTATTATAGTTCCTGAAGACTTTTTGATAAACATGAGGAATAAGTACCTTTCCAGCACAACAGCAATGTACACTGAAACAATGCCAACATTTCAATGCATAGAAGAGGCTAAGAAGTAAGAGTAAAAGATTTTGGAAGAGGCATGGTGGTGCACACCTTTAATTCCAGCACTCGGGAGGCAGAGGCAGGCGGATCTCTGAGTTCGAGGCCAGCCTGATCTACAGAGTTAGTTCCAAGAACGAGTAATCCCATCTGTTTTGTTAGCAATGACTAGGCTCATTCCCCAGGACGTAAACAGCGAAAGTCCCTGAGTGTAAGATGTATCATCGGGAGCTCAAAGTCAGAATGTGTGTACCGATAGAAAGCCAATGTTGAGACAGGGAGCCGTGGACTCTCAGAACACTGAATGCTCTTTGGTTCATGCGTATTTATTTCCATTTTCTGAGACTCCACACCTCTCAAGCACCCTTTCCTCTGCCACTCCCTTAATAATGCACACTGCCCCCACTGCTAGCAGATTAAACTAAAGTGAAGAATCCGGGACATGCTTGATAATGAATCACCAAGATGAGACAAACCAAGAAGCCAAATAAAATTTCCCCCATTAAAGCTCTGCATGTTCTTCCCACGGTACATCCTTTACCTGACCCATTCCTTCGCACACGCCTGTACCGCAGGAGGATACACCTCACACTTCAGGCAGCTCTCAGAAGGCATTGATTATGTGATTATTTAGGAACTCTCTAGAACCAGTTGGCAACCAGTCCAGATCTATCTTCTACATATATTCTAAAAATCTTTAAGCTGTTTTGTCTACTTGAGATAAAGATCTGAAAAACAGAAATCTTAACTTGGGGTGGGAAGGATGTTGGTGGGCAAGAATTCGCACTACGCAAGTTTGAGGACTCGGGTTCGAATCTCCAGGCCCCATGTTCAAAGTCAGTTTTAGCCACATGAGCAGCTGTAACCCCAGCATTGGGAGGGGTTGGAGACATGAGGATTGCTGGGGCTTGCTGGCTGCCAGCCTAGCTTTGAGGTCAACAAGGAACACCATCTTAAGGGACTACAGTGGAGAACGGCAGAAATGACCTACATGAGATCCTCTTCTGGGCCGTCATGTATATCACTCACAGAATGAATACAAATAAAGTCTCACTCTTCTCCAACTTTAAACCACCTTCTGTACCACTGAAATCTCACCATTTCGTGACTTGTACTTCATCGTGGTCAGGGTCCTCACACCAGATCACAGGACAAAACTCCAGCAAGAGCTCTAAACAACAATATTCTATCATAAGAATATTCTATCATATGTTCTAACAAAAATAACAAACTTGAGTTGGGTAACTCTTAAACAACAAAAGGACGTTTCCCCTAATAACTAAATCAACCAACCCGAATTATAAAAATTCTTTAACAACAGAGACAAGAAAAAAAATATATAAACTCTTCCTCCGGGTAAACTGCTGTTCGTGTGGTACAAAGCTTCCCACTGATTCTCTCTAAGCAGGCGATGTGCAGGCTTGGTGAGGTGCTTGCATGGCCTTATCATTTGCAGCACAGGTCCTGGCCACTGCAGAGCAGTATGCGACTACACACAATTTGGCCACTCTTGTCTCTGTGTGTAGCTAAATAGACCTTCCTATCAATTTTTGAATGTATCTCTAAGTTCCATGTCTCTTTAAATGTGTCACCCATTTCCATTCCCAGCATCTCACAGGTTGTCTGACAAGGATGATGATGATGATGATGATGACAACGATGATGACAGCAATAATGATGGTGATGATGGTTGACTACTACGTCTACTGTTTTACCTTTCTCTAAACACTTTAGGGAAATAATGGTTTCTATGAGCCTCGGTCAGTAGGATGAACTTTTGTCACAATTTTATTGGCTCTAGGAATCTCTTACTAAGTCTCCGTTTTCTTAGCCAATATCCGCTCCATTTTCATTAGTCATGGGCATCTAAGAGGTTCTTTATATCATGTAAAGATAGGAGGCCTCTGGGTATCATATGATGATATGGTAAGAATCTTTTCCTAGTTTACCTTTTCACTGTAACTGTCAGACATTTTCTCCTGTGGTTTTATGCCACGGTTTCCAACTTCAATATCTAATCAATCACATGTTTCCTAATTTTTGCTATCACATTCATAAAATTATTATATAATGATCTTGGAATATATTCGTTTTCTTCCCCAGTAACTGTTTTGTCATCAACAATCCAAAGCTATGACACTGGTGGTAGGCTGTGTGAGCACAAGAGCTTAGCATATTTCAAGTTCCCCCAAGGGATCAACCTTCCTTCATCTCTTTACCCTCAATTCAAAACAGTATCACCAAGTAGGCTGCAGTGGCACATAGCTTTAACCCCAGCACTTGGGAGCTAGAGGCAGGCAGATCTCTGTAAGTAAAAGGTCATCCTGGTCTACTCAGTGAGTTCTAGTACAGCCAGAGCTACATAGTGAGGGCCTGTCTCGAAGAAAAGAAAAAGAAAAAAAAAAAAAGCTATCTATTCTGGCTCACTGGTCTCTCTACATTGATGTGCACAGGTCACCGTTTTTACCATTGTGGGTTAGCAGCATCTACTAACATCTGCCAGTTCATTCTTTACTGTTCGTTGCTAAATCTTCCTTGGTCATCACCAGCCAACTGATTTTTCCCATTTGGATTCCTTGGTATCTTTCAACTAACATATAAATTCCTTAGAGAAAATTCTGGGCAATACTCATTAGGGTGTAACCTTGTTAAATGGGAACCATATCAGTACCTACAAAAGAGGGTTGTGGTGATACAGGTTAGCAGTGAATTCAAACTAAGATAATCCAAGTTCATGTGGGCTATGGGTAGACTTACAGCAAACACAGATGGAAGTTCACTAGACTGAGGAGAGCAACTCTGAGAGGGACACAGTAAGAGAGACCACTCCTACTCTCTCAATGTTCAGTGTAAAGTTTAGCAATGGGGGACTGAGGAGTGTTGTAGGGGACTTGCAATACTGGTGGAACACAAGGTAAGTGAGGAGAGGGACCCAAGGGACATATGAAAGATGAAACACATCGTACAAAGCTCTCAAGAAGAATCCAGACATATTAACCTAGACAATAGAGGCACATAAAGCAGGGCACTCTGACGGTAGTTCTCCATTGTCTGTGATGACAACATACGTCTGTGATATGCAGAAACAGAAGAAGGTGAACCTACACAGGAAACCGGATAAATCCTGGAAGAGGCATGAAAACAAATGAAAGAGAAACATGGAGGAATTTCCAAACAAGTCCTGAAGGCCTGAGACAGGAAGACGATGCTAAGACCCCAGTGGTACTGACTTATGGTATTTCTAATTAGTTGTTACTAACTGAAATGTTAGTGCTAGTCTCCTCCAAAAACGGTTCGTATATGTATCTTTAGCAAGCTTGCTTATTATCAACTTATTTACTTAATATTTAACTTCTTTTTTTTGAGGGGGGGGTCTTGCTATATAGCCCAGACTAGCCTTGAATTTTAGCAAGCCTCCTGATTCGGCCTCCCCAGTACTGGTATCACAGATATGCACCATCAGGCCAGCCTGCCTCGTTTTAGGAATGAATGTGGAGGAAGGTCACTGCATATCTTTTCACTGTTCAGACAGGTTACTCAGAAGCAAGTCTTGACAGGCAGGGCATTAACTATGCAGTTATATTTGAACATACTTTTGTTAATGGCATTTCCCAGCAACATCTGACTCTGTTCCCACTGGCATTTCTTCCTCCTCCTAAAACACTAACTGTAGTCAAGATTCTAGAACAATACTAGTTTTAGGGGAAAACCCTTTCCTCGGTGTTATGGACTTCATATGCTGTTTGTTACTGCCCACAGCAAACATTCCAACCTAAGCAGCCTTGTCTCCGTGCTTTCCAGTTGGGAGGGAAGTATGCCTAGGTATTTTATTTACAACCTAAAAATTCCTCAACATGAATCACACAAGCACAGAGGAAAACACTGTAAGCACTAGCATAAGGAAGGAGACATCTCAAGAAGTAGCTAACCAACAATGCAATATGTAGGAGCCAGTCCAACTTAAATGTATCTCTGTTGGCTTTTAAGCTAGCACAGTGGAAAGTCAACTTCAGGCTTTGACAAGGCTACACTCCCAAAGCAGCAAGGCTCGGAGCAAGCAAAGAAAGCAATGGCCCTAAAAATGCATTTACCTCTCAACGTTAACATCTTTAAACAGTCAGGTACACACAGCCTTTCTTTGGTTAAGTCCACAGATGAAATCTAGACCCTAACAGTTAGTCTTGAACGTTCTAGTATCTTGGACACTTAATCACTTGGTGCCTCGGTTTTCCTCATCTCTTAAATGGAAACAGCGCCAGATAGCCCGAATACTTGCCATGACTAAACAAAAGAACACCTAGGAACACCCAGCATGACGGACACACAGCACTCATCAATGTCACACTGTCGTGATGACTGTAACAGCTACCAAAGAACACTCTTGTCCACATAGGCATGGTAACAGCAATGCTATTACCAGCTTCAATTAGAATTGTGTTCAATACATTTCAACTGGAAATCACAACTTTACCTCTCTGTTAAATCAATCCACAAATGTCCAGTTCCTCACAGGGTAGGTACCTCATATTGACTCACTGGGTGGAAACTTGTTCTATAGTTTCGAATGTAAAATGTAAAACCTAGAGTCTAAGAGCAATGGCTCAAAGGATTCAGCACTTGCTGAGCAAGCATGAGAGCCTGGGTTCAGGCCCCCAGCACTAACATAAAATCTGGGTGTTGGGGGGGGGGGGAAGCACACCTGTGCAACTTCAATAATGGGAGGGGGGACTGGAGGATCCTGAGGGCTTTCTTGACAGTCCAACCAAAATCAAGGAACTCTAGGTTCAGCCAGAAAGCTTGAAGCCTGTCTCAAAAATAAGGTAGAAAATTAGAGGAAGACACCCCAACATGGACTTCTGCCCTCCACACATTTCACACAGGTACTGTCCACATACAACCACAAAACTGGATTGCAATTTTTCAATGTCTTCCTTTTCAACAGTTTTACCCATTGACACAGGGTCTCACTGTGTTCCCTAGGCTGTCCTTGAAATCAAGAGCAGAAAGCAAACCATATGCCCAATTCAGCTGTCTGCACCCTCCACAGCCCTCCTTCCCTTCCATGTTTGTAACCTTATGTTGTCAAACAATTTAATGTTTCAACTCAAGATTGATTTAGGGTCCTTCACACTCTGCTCAGCAACACCTAAAAAAACAGGAACCTGGTAAATATAAACAGATGCTCCCTAATTTAGTATTTCCTAAGATCTTAGCATAAAAAATTTACATGACTCTAATATAAAATGTTTGCTTATTAGTTCTTTCTTCTGCTTCAGCGCATATGATAAGACCCTTCTGTACAAAGAAAGGCCTTCTGAACTTATGTCAGTGTTACCCTGGGCAATCTCACACACAACACGGACAAGCAGAAAGGGCACTCCCAGCAGCCACTCATCTCAAAGTGGAAGTAGAGTGAATCACTGCAGTGCCACACTCCACCACGTTGGCTGGATACAATCAGAGGACCTAAGTGAAGCTGGAGTTTAAAATTTGCTGCAGAAGCCCTCACACTTTAAGTCCAGTCTGGCCAGCTTGGGTAGGAACGTCTGGGAAAATACTAAGAGCTGCCCGTGTAGGGGACAGGGAAGGTTAAGTGGCCAGCAGTGAAGGGCCACATGCTGTCATTTCTCCAAGCCCATATGTTTTGCTGAGGATTCAAAAATATTTGGAAAACCCACTTGCAGGATAATTTGTATACATACTTGGGCAGAAGGAATGACAGCACAGAATCCACGGGGGCTTAGCCATCACTGTGCCACCACACGGATGCTTCTGGAAACAAAACCAAATGGCTTCTGACTCCTTTGGGCAGAGTTATTGGAGAAGACCATCATTTGGTAAGTATTACTCAGGAGAGATCGTTACAGGGAAGGGACCCTGCTGGCACAGCACAAGTCTCTGTCCTTTGGTTTGGTGTTTAAGCGGTTGCTCCTCAGCGTTTGTCCCCTTACTCCCCAGGAGCGTTCCTGTTTAAACCTCCTCTTGAGGTCCCTCCACACAGTCATCTGAAAACAAGCAGACCTCATCGAAGCAGTCACTCGTCCTAATGCGTACTCCCACTTAGTTTAAAACAGACCACTGTTTTAACTGGCCTAGAATGTAAACCTGTACTTAGCATAG